ACATCATTAATTATGATTTTATCATATCCTACTTAGCAGGTTAATGTTTAGCTCAAATGGCCGTTAACTTTTTAACGAAAAAGTATGAGTTTGAAACATATTAATAGTTGGGTGACTATTTTGTAACTTTTAATAGTCGGAGGATTTAAGAAAATAGTACACTATATTCGAGAGACTATTTTGTAACTTTTAATAGTTAAAGAATTCAATTAGGCAATGCCTTATAATTGAGGACCATTTGTATAATTAACCCTCAAAATAGTTTACGATAAAATATATATTTAGTACCTGAAATATCATTTTTGGTTCGTTTTAATACCTAAACTTTCAATTTTTTCAAAATCATACCTAACGTTTAGTTTTTGTTTCATTTTAGTACCATAGGGTTAAAAATTTAACGCGTTTAGTATTTAAACTATCAGTTTTGGTCCGTTTTAGTACCTAAACTTTCAAATTTTTTCAAAATTTAACGTAAAATTTGGAATGAGGTACTAAAATGAAACAAAAACTAAACTTTATGTATGTTTTTGAAAAAAATGAAAGTTTAAATACTAAGACAGACCAAAATTGATAGTTTAGATACTTAACAAATAATTTAACCAATAATTTATAATAAAAATTATAAATTTTTAAAAATTATTTTATTCAAGACGAAAATATAGTTACTTTATAAAATCGGAAGGAACAAAATAACAAAATTTCAATTTTATTTCAATCTTACGGTGGAAAATATAGGTTGCAAGTTGAGACCAACCCACCAAGAAAATCAGCCAACTAAAACTCTATATTCAGAGGCGCTAAGCTAACCTCATCATTTCTCTGTTCCTTTTCAGTGAGAGCAAATCGCTTAGGAGCCAAACAAGGTTTGCTCCTTTCCCTTCTCCGTAATTTACATTTAAATTCTCCGTTTCTATTTTAATTTCCCCCCTCCCCGAATCGATATACCAATTTACTTTAGTTCTAGAAGTATGGCATACATGTTGAAAATTTTAATCTTATATCAATTATCTGGTCTCTAGTTTTTGAAATTTCATGTGTTTTATTATTGGATTTATTGTTATAGACAGTTTTGATTTCTGGGTGGTGGATAGTTAACCCCGGTGGATAGGAATTTTGGAGTACTTTGGTTAGCTTTTGATTAAGTGTGTTTTTTTTTAAAAAAAAGAACATGTTAAAAAATCTTTCTTTTTGCCACAGAAGGAAGAAAAATGGTTTTGTGGATTAGTTAATAGGAATAGCTCGGCGAGAAATGTGTTTCAGAAAGGGTTGGTAGTTGAAATCCTCAAGGAAAGGTTGATGCTACCTAACTAAACCAAAACTAACTTTTGAAGGCATTAATTCTGAAAGAAATGTTAATTGGCCTTGAACTAGTGAATAAGAAGTGTTTAATGCCGACCAAATCAATGCTTTTGTTTCTAGGGTCAGTGGTAACTGGTAAGTGAAGTTTTGCCGAAACTAGTTTCCAGTTTATTTTATTCGCTCTTACTACATATATATTATAATTGTTTGAGTTGGTTTGAGCAGTGGTTATTAGTACAACTTCTGTATTCTGGAATTTATTTTGATTGGTATAATTTTATATTAAATCATTGATGGATGAAATGAAAGTCATATTATTTCTTTTCATTTACTTTTTGTGACGGACTCAGTTTGGTCATTTTATTGTGATGTCAATCAATCGAGTTTCATATATGTTTCATCTATTTCAGCCTGCTAACGGTCATTCAGCATAAAGTTTGAGTTCAGGTTCTCTATCCTCATATTGGATGGCCATTATACCATGTGGAAGTACATTCGGTGCCCAGTGGAGTATTCGTCCTCAATTTGCAATACATCCTTATGTCCCAAACCGAATAATGACAGCCAGATTGGGGTAAGTTTTCTACTTAACTCTTTTGCATATATAGAAAGGGAATTTTATCATCAGACTGCACTTATTTCCTTCTAGACCTTTATGTGGATTTGGAATTACTGAATTTGCAGTCTCATTACTACTTGCTAGTTTTGGTTCCTGCACTAGCATTCATTTGAATTTGTGAATTTGATGCATGGCATATTGGTGAACATAATGGTTAGCTGGGCAGATATACCCCCTTTGTAGTTACTCTTTTTGTTTAGACTGTATTTATGTTTGTTGATACTTGATAGTTGATTAAAGAGAGACCTGTGAAAAAATGTGATGTTTTACCTCTAACCATTATAGTCTATTTGTTGGTAATCATGGAATCATCATTTTGGTGTTTATTGCTCTTATGCAGAGTCACAAGTACAATGAGTTGTTTGGGAATGGGATCATCAAATTCAGGCTTGTTTTCACGTGATTCCTTACCGTTGTTATCATTTATGAGGCCATCTCAAACATCACATCATCGTAGGGGAGCATGGTTCATTGTTAGAGGTGAAACTGTGAGTGTAAACTACTTCCAATTTTTTTTCTTTTCTTTTCTTTTGTTTTTGTTTGGTTTTTTTTGGTGTTGTGTTGTAATTTTTTCGGGTTGAAAATAGGCTTTAATGGTTTTTAATGACTTAATTATACATTTTGAGCAGGATTATTACACTGTCCTTGGTGCGTCGAGAAATGCAAGTAAATCTGAAATCAAAAGTGGTTAGCTGAGTTAGCAGAACTTGTTCAGTGACTCTTCTAATTATTGCTTATATAATTTTCTTTGCTGCATTTATGTTCTTATTTTTGTTTGCTAGTTTACATTCTTATTTATGATTTTTCAACTAAATGAAGTTAAGTTTACCCAGGATTTAAGGGTTTCTGCATGTAAAGTCGTAAAACACTATTGCACAAGCTTTAATTTTAAGGGAGGGTAGGTGTTAATACCATAAATAAAAGAGAATTTAGAAAGTGTGGATTGATGTGAAGTGAAGTTAAGACAAATTTTAGGATATAACTAAGTACACAGTGAGCATGTATAAAAATTGAAAAAGTCTCATCATATTTTGGTCGGGTTACATCAAGGTGCACATTTACAAGGAGAATAAAAGGAACTCTTGCAACTTTAAGAAAGAATAAGACAATGGATCAACCAGGATAGTTAACATTTGGTGGTATTCACATTCATGGTCTCTGCTAATGAAAAGATTTTAGGTGTTTCAACTATCTGAAGGAAATTTTGTGGTTGTCCTCCTTTGATTGGAGCTTCAATTTTTTTCCATGATTACTTCCTGCTTTTGTCTTCCATATTATATTATCTTACAGTTTTTAAATCTGTTGGTTTTTTCAGCTTATCTCAAGCTTGCTCGAAGTTACCATCCGGATGTGAACAAGTCAGTTGATAACCTTATATCTCTTGCCTCCTATTTATTGTTGTGTTTATCACATTTTTATATATTTCATTATATTTATGTGTGATGTGAAGTGCTAGTAAACTTGAACTTCAATTTGATGTGGTTCAGATAAAAACATGACATGATTATATCAGCAAGCTCTGGTCATCTGGATTTTCTGGGATTTGATGTGATGCAATCTGAATATCAGATTTAGATTGGCAACAATCTGCTCACTGAAAGTTAATCTCAGAAGAAATAAATAGATGACAATTCACATCTGAATTGGCTATATTGACCCATATGAGAAAACCTGTGTGAATATTTTGGGCCATGTGGTGTTGGTTAGTCTCTGAGAATCATCAAAGTTTCTAATTATTCTACTATGTTTTTTTCTTTCCCATTTTTAGATCTAGTGGCGTTACAAGTTGTTTAATGTAGAAGCGACCACAATGATCATAAAAATGTATTCTCTTATTCTGGTCAAACAATAGAAATTAACTTCCTTGCTGGGTTCTGGGAAATGGGTTTCATTAGTTCTTGCATGACACCGTTTCTTAGGCAGGTTAGAAATTTCGAATTCCCTGGGAGATCATGTTAATGAGATGGGTCAACATCCACTTATTTTCATTGTACTATCCTCATCTTAGGATGGAGGAATCAACTGTGATGATTTCTGTTGATGTAGCACACACTCTCTGGTTTGAGTATTTGAAGTTGGCTAATAACCTTTTCAATAGAAAAGCGCCGAAGGGATGTCTGTCTATTTCAAGCAGGGGCTCAAATAAAATCTATCCAAAATGAGGTCTTAGAGAATGTGATTGTTGAAAGAAAGAGAATGGAATAGTAGTCATAAATTTCCCAATTTAGGTGTTTGTTGAGTTTTGTTCTTATATTCGTAGAATTAATTGCTGAAATGAAGAGTGTAGAGCAGTATTTGGAAAATCTCTGACTCACAAGTACTTTTTCTTGAAAGTTTGTTTTCATTTTGTGTTGCTAGTTAAAATATCTTCTTTAACTCACGTATGCTCGAACAATAATGCTTCCCCCACCTTTCTCATCATCATATAATATTCTGCAGAGATCCAGGAGCAGAGACAAAGTTCAAGGAAATTAGCAATGCATATGAGGTAAGAATATTATGTCTTGCTTATTATGGTTTCTTTTGGATGTGTAAAACGCAACCAGTTCTTAATCCCTGTGCTTATCTAGTCTTTGAGGTGCATTATATTGCTTAGGTATTGTCGGATGATGAGAAGCGATCTCTATACGACAAATATGGGGAGGCTGGACATAAAGGTGCTGGTATGGGAATGGGAGTAAGTTAATTCTACTGATGCTGAATAAGATCATTCATTTCAAAATTATATTTCTCTATATTTCATTCAGCATTGATGGCATGTTTGCTTTGACAGGATTTCAGCAATCCTTTTGATCTGTTTGAGTCGCTATTTGAAGGCATGGGTGGCATGGGCATGGGCGGACAAAGTTCCAGGAATTGAGCTGTTGATGGGCAGGATGAATATTACAGTCTATTATTGAATTTTAAGGAAGCAGTGTTCGGAGTTGAGAAAGAAATCGAGATAAACCGACTAGAAAGCTGCGGAACTTGCAATGGTTCTGGTGCAAAACCTGGAACAACACCGTCCAAATGTACCACATGTGGTGGTCAAGACCAGGTTATCTTATCTGCAAGGACTCCACTGGGCGTTTTCCAGCAGGTAATGACATGCACTTCGTGTGGCGGGGCAGGGGAAATTTCTACCCCATGCAATACATGTTATGGTGATGGGCGGGTAAGGAGAACGAAGAGGATTAGTTTGAAAGTGCCGGCTGGTGTGGACTCTGGTAGCCGTTTAAGGGTCCGGTCAGAAGGAAATGCTGGAAGGAAAGGTAGGTCCCCGGGTGATCTATTTGTAGTCATTGAAGTAATCCCAGACCCTGTCCTAAAACGTGATGATACCAACATATTGTACACCTGCAAGGTGTCATATATAGATGCAATACTGGGAACAACAATCAAGGTTCCAACTGTAAATGGTATGGTTGATTTGAAGATACCAGCCGGAACCCAGCCGAACAACACCCTTGTAATGGCCAAGAAAGGTGTTCCTGTTCTAAATAAAACCAACACGAGGGGTGATCAGGTGGTCCGTGTCCAAGTTGAAATTCCAAAAAGACTGAGCAGTGAAGAGAAGAAGCTTATTGAGGAACTTGCTGACTTAAGCAAGGGTAAGACAGCAAGCAGTAGGAGATAGTTTCTGGGTCTTTCAGGTGAATACACTGATATTAGGTGCTATTTGCCCCGGAAATCGTATTATCTGTCCGGTATCTGCGGCTTCCGAAGTTGGAACTACCAGTTCATGCGAACACATTTTGATGTTCTGAAAATGCATGAAGTAGGAAAGCTGAAAGCGGCTAAAATTTGGAGTGATAGGTAAGGTAAGATTATATTGTGATAGTTGTCCCATATAAATGAATCTCGATGGAAACAGTGAGGTGTAAGAATAGATAAATTCCTCTGTGATTGCAGTCTTTTATTAGCAATTCTCTGAGATTGAACTATAATTTGGGTAACAATGTTACCCTTCAATTTTGTCTCTCTTTTATTAAAATATTATGAATGAATGATGAAAAAACTTCTCTCGTTCGTTTGGATTAGCCCCAGCTAATTTATACCTTTCAAATAACAATTGTAAGTTGCGTGTATATTTAGTATTTATATAGTTATTGAATGTATAGGTAGAGTTTAATATTTAATTTGTTTCTTACATTGAAATTACAATGATAATATTTAAATTTTATTGATCAAGATTTTTAAAACTTAATTAATATTTTAAACTATATTTTTTTAATTTTGAATCTGATGTTAGTTTTCTTTGGTGGATGATAAGTTTAATAGGTAGTTTTTTTAATTATTTACATGGATGATAAAGTTTTGATATAAGTGTTCTAACATGGATGATAATTTTTTTTTATATATAACCTAATTTTTTAAAAAATTATATGTTATTTTTGGTTTTTTGCTTCTTTTTCTTGGGAGTTGTGGCAAAATTAGTAAGACAGTGCATCTGAAAAAAAATTTGTAAAATAATCTATCAGAGGAATTATTTCTTCAGACAATACAAAAGCTACAATACACAACGAATACTCATTGGAATCATGGTGTCAAAGGTAGCTCGCCTGTAGCCCTATGTGTCTTCATGGTGTGTCGCATGGAATACTATGTGTCTTTATTCTGTAGGTAGGTCACCTGAAGCGCAATGTGTCTCCCATGAAATTGTCCCATGAAGTTACAACATGGCAACTTATATAGCCTGCATGGCAGCAATAATGATACTATTTTAGTAACCAATAATGCTGTAATAATACACTGTAATAATAATATAATAATAATGGGGGTGAGAAGTTTTGATATATATGAGTGTTATGGGTGTGAGGGTGGATAATCGGAAATCAAATTTAAGAAGAGAAGAGAAAGGAGAGGAGAAGAAATAAAGAAAGAGAAAAGAAGAAGAAGAAGAAAGAAATAAATTTAAAGGTATTTTTTTTAAATTATTGTAATAAATTAATATAGATGATTTTTTTAATTTATTAAATTGATATTTTAATTAATTTATGTTTTTTTAGTTTTAATGAACTTTAGTTTAAAATAAATCATATTTGGTTTAATTTAAAAATAAATTAGATTATGTAAAGGTTTAAAGGAATCTTTTCAAAGAAGGTATTTGTTGTTGTTGTTGTAGTTTAAATTAGTTACTTAGTTTAGATTATTTTTAGATTAAATTATATTTGTTTAAATTAATGTTTATATCAAATTATTGTAGTTTAAAAAATTATTTTTTCAACATATTCGTTCAAATGATAGAACAAAATCAACTGGTGAGACTTGACGATCAACATATTTCTAGCCATTTGAGAATAATGGTGTTATTATTATTTAATAGAATAATATATTTTATTTGAGAACGGATTATTATTATTAAATGCTAGAAGTTTATTTTATGATTAATTGATTAATTTCATGAATTAATTAATTGTAGGAAGATGAGAAGAGAATCCTTCGACACCGACTCAGTATTTGTGATAAGCCACCCTTTGATTGGATAACTTGCAAGAGACTGAATTTTACAATACAAAATTTGTTCGAGAGTACAAGTTGATCATGTGTTTGATCAGTGTGTTGATTGAACGTTGGAGATAAAAAAACACATACATTTCATTTTTCGTGTGGAGAATGCACGATAACTTTGGAGAATGTGGCCATCCAACTCAGGATCCCAACAAATGGGATGCTAGTGGTGCAGAAAAATAACTAGAATGATTTAAAAGGGTGGCGCTTGAGGCGATCATGGTTGGAGAATCAATTTAAGCTCTAACAAAATATTACCCAACAAGAAATTTTATATGCAACTCGAGCATATATATTGCAGTTGATTAGAGAAGTTTTAATGCTGGATAAATATGTTAATCTAGTTCATACACAATAGCTTTCGTTTTATGATATATTTTGAGAATACTTGTCAATATAGTTGGAGATTAGCGATATTGGCGTTCTTGTATCGTAAGATGTGCAAGGTGTCAATAATCGTAAACAATATTAATATAGTGGAAATCAGTGAATGCTTGATGTTGTTACAATCATGGGCTTGACACATACTGTTATTTTTAACACCGATTAGTCGAACTACGGTTGACTTTTCTCTTATCGAAAAATAATATTTCTCTATTTTGAATTAAAATCTTAAATTATATTTTTTTAGATTAAAAATAATTAACAAATATTTTTTTGATTGTTATATAGATGGAGGCATAAAATTGAAACAACTGGGTTGGTGCACAATAACATTAAAGACATTAGTTTGAAGTTCGACATTTGAAGCAAAAATTAGGAATATATATATTATTATTTATAATTACTAATTTTTTATAATTAAATTAAATTTTATATTTATTTATTTATTTATATTTTTCCTAATTAAGTTTTATAAATTTTAATTTTACTGTTTAATTGGAGGTCATATGTAGATGCATAAATTATTGCATGTGTGTGGCAAGATGTTGGAGATAGTTGTCAATATTGGTGTGTTGTTACATCGTGGATTCCTTTTTCTTTTGTTGAGTTCTAGTTTTACCTTCCTATTCCACAGATTCCATACGATCACGACGACCTCTACAAAATAGATGGATGAGACAAGCACAACGTGAATTGGATTGAGAAGCATGCGAACTACATTAATATTTAGAACAACAAGGCTTCATACTTGCCAGCTCTTAGTCCCATTCAAGATGACGAATTTTATTTTAAGACATCGACTTACCTTAACCATTATTAGGATAATGAAAAGTCACATTTGACAATGACGAGAGAAAGACGATAATTTATACAGTTTAAGAAAAAATGGTAAAGATGAAAAATCTATACCGAGTAGGAGTGGGAGTTCATCTCACCATGAAGTGGAAACAACACCTGTGGGTAATATCTCAGCTCAACCTTTGGGTGATAAGGGATCATTTCATCAAGAGTTTGATGATTCTACTGTTGTGGCATACATATCTAAATTTATGCATCCTCAGACACTCATCTACTTTCTGTTTAGATTAATATATGATATTGATATTTTGATAACATGACATCCATGATGTCAAATACGACTATTTTTCATTCTACATTTCCATAGGAGATGAGAGAGCAGAGTGGTGGACATATATTTACAACATCATGTCATATGCCCTAAGTGAAGGAGGAGGATGTCTATCAAACTCCTCAGAAACCAGAACAGCCACAACACAATTGACGTGGGCCTCGAAATCATCATTGCATACCACCCTGACAACGAAAATAATTCTAAACGGTCTATTGTTTATGTATAAAAATTAATATTAAATAAAATATTATTTATTCAAATGATGGTTTAATTCTGTTTAATTTATTTATGTAAATTATATTTAATTTATGTATTTAAATTCCGCTTAATTCATTTCAAACCATATATGGAAATCCATCACACTCATTAAAAAATAAATAGAAAAAACCAAAAATTCATTCAAATTGAAATAAAAAAATTCAAATATTCATTCAAATACAAATATGATTACTGATGAGACCTATATCTTTGTATATTTGGATACTTTTTTTAATGACCTTCACTCATACGTAATCCGTATCTTTTCGATTGACCTTTCTCTCTAATATGGAAATCCATACTAGTATTAATATGAGTGCAACTAGGTCGATCCTTTGAACTTCTACGAAGCATTGGATTCTGTAGACATTCTTCATGATCATTTTCAACCAATATGATTTATTTGTAATCTTTATGAACTCATAGTTGTAGACACTTAATATCCTTTATAGGTAAAAACACTCATCAATATAATTTTCACTCTTAGACCAACATGCATACATACAACGACTGTATGAGCACATGGATATCTCCATGCCTGAAAGTGACTACAATCACACCATCTATGTTGCAAATCAACTCTAAATGTTTGACCTTCTCCTCATTCACTACAACGTATGTATTTTACAACAAAAGTGTGTTCAATTCGTTTCAAGTTTTGAACAAGCATTGAGGATGCAAATCACTCGTTTGCTTTTATTGCTTCCACCACTTTAGGAGCCCAAATTTGACCTCTATATATGAGACACTCAATCTCCTTCCTTTTATCAGACCAAACCTCAACCAACCTAAAGTATGTCTCTTTCACTACACTCACTATTGGGAGATGATGTGTACATGTTAGTATTGAATTAATGGCCTCAATAAGGTGTTTTGTCATTTTTTTTGTATCAACAACCATCATCGTTTGCTTGTAACCATTTTTCTCGTAGGAGTTTTAAAGTCCACTTTCGAACACGCTCATCATGAAGCACTTCTTCAAGCTCTTTTTAAAATTTGGTTTGCGTAGTTCATATTCTTTTTCATAATATATATTGTGTTAAACATCAATTAAAAAAAACATAAATGGATACACATGTTGAAAATAAAACTTACTCATGTGCATTATCTCGTTACATATGCGGGCATTATGAAACTAATTGATAATATTCTTACAAATATATCATATAAAAAATGTGGGATATGCATGTGGAGGTATCCAACGACTTTCTGGTCATTCCATTGCCGCCAAAATGCATGCTCCTCTATTGGATATCAAACAAACTCCATCTTCTCGAACAACACATTGTCGTAGATTGGTAAAAAAGAAATCATAAGCCCTTGTTGTCCTCCTTCAATGATAGCGAATGAAATTGGGAAGATATTTCATTGACCATTGATGCTATGAAACTATTACAACATTCACGTAAGGTAAAGTATTTTATCAAGTAATAAAAATGGATACACGAAGTGTATCAGATGTCGAACCCACAAAGAGAATTAAATTACAAAAGAGTTATAACAAGGTATTCATGTCTGAAAGTTATAGATAAAAA